AGTTTGCCAGGTACCACACAGTTGTATCCTGATAGCCGTAATTAATTTTTCTTTTTATTTATTTATTGGTAACTCATTTGGATAAGGAATCTGAAAAGGCCTGTGGAGCTGGCACCAAAGGAGTTGTCTATGTAGCATAATTCTCCATTAATTTCTTTGGCATTAAGTGAGCATTTCTCACTGGTCCTTTAGCTTTCAGTCACATTAATAATGAATGTTACTTGCTAACAGAGCTAGTTTTCCCCAGCCCAAATCCTATCAAAACAACTGTCGGTTTACAGCAATCTTTTCTGACTTTTGCAGGTACTAACAACATCTGTAGCTTGGAAGAAAAAGAAAACAAAATTAAACCACACAAAAACCAGGAGTCTAGAAGATGAAAAGCTTATAATTCTTTTTCTCCCTTGAGGATGGTTTTACAAGGGATGAATTCCAAGGAAATTCAACAACCACAAACCTTAAGTGCATCTAGCTTTGTCAGCCAGGCTTTTGAATTGGTGTTTTAAAGCTTTTTTGAAATGAAATCAGGCTGAAAAAGCCAAGCCCACCAGAATACACATTTATAGGAAGACTTAAGCAGCAGGAATGTAGCACTGGTTGGGGAATAGTTAGTCCACCTTTCAGACCTGGCTTAAAATCCGCATCTTCATCAAGTTCTCATATACTTCTCCTAGGGAAGTCTCAAGAAAGAAGAAAGATTTCTCCTAAAAGTCTTAAGTTTTTATTTTCTCTCGTTCAACGAGAGTTTGGTTTCTGGCCAGCAACTGCACCAACATTTTCCAGGGAAAATCACCTGGATAACCAGGCGAACGTTACTCAAGCTGGACACTGCGACAGGAGAGGGAAGCCTCTCCGTGAGCCACAACAGCTCTGCAGCAGTCAGATTATTTTGGTAGGGAGCCTGTACGTAAAGTGGACACCCGGATGAAAAAACATTTAGGGCACAGTCTGCATCCACACTGCCTGTCTGCAGAGACCCAYAGGGAATTTTGCTCCATTCACCTAAGATGGTTTTTCAATATTGACACACCAGAGAAAAGTCACAGGCTGCACATCCCACATCACCGCATCGTTCTGCCATGTGGGGATATTTTAGAGCATTTTTTGGAGCATATTTAGAGATTTTCCTTAGCTCTCTGCTCTTCCTGCTGATTGTTAGAACTGCGTCTAGTAAAAAAGGGAACATCTTTCTGCTCACTTTCACTATACTTTTATATTTGTTGCAGATTTGGTAGCCTTTTTCTGACATTAAACCAGAAASTAAACCTTTACATGTCTCCTCCCTTCCTTACGTGGGTTGTACAYGGTTTCTGTCTTTCTATACGGAGTGTTACTACAGCAGTTTTCAGTTCAGTTCACAAGAGCACTGCTGCTGCTGCAGACAGTTCTCACCTTCTTCCCAAACCAACTCCTTTCTGGTATCACAATAAACATTCCCGCAGCTACCTTGAATTTGAGCAAGAAGGAGTCAAACCAAGAAGTCCCTCCTCCCCTCCCAGGCCGAGCTGGAGCAGTTCCCTGAATAATTGCACAAATATTTGTGCCAGATCAAGTGGCAAGGGAAGGGGAAGTTCAGCTACAAGGAAGGGTGAGCCTACTTTCTTTCCGTGGCACTCATTAAAATCCGCTTACGGAACAAAAACATCTGCTTCTCAGAACAATTTAAAACTATCTGACTGCCTCAACGTGCACARCCCAGCAGTTCAGAACACAGGAGAGCCTCTATCACACTCAATGCTGAAGAGACACTGATAAAGTAAGGAAAGGGATATAAGTGACAGACTATCCCCTCAAAGTCTTACTGCTTCAGTCTTATCTGGGATATCTGAAGGTTGCAGTGTGTTARCACAGCACAGGAGGACCCTTCGCAGCCTCCACAACCCTCACCAGAAAGTCAGCACTGCAGCTTATTCAGCAGTATAAACACCGAGGCCATAAAGTTGAAGTTTCAAGRCTATAATCTATTACGACAGGCACTAAGCCACACTGCTTATGGTATTAGAGGGCTTCCCATTCCACCGAGTTTGTTGTTTTGCTCTCAGGAGCCCTGTGGGATTGTGTCCACAACACTCCAGAATCACTTCAATGACGTCAGCCTTTGACGTGACAGCTTGCAGTGCAACCAAGTCATTTTGAAGAATTTCTTTCCTCATTTGCGCTCATTTCCTGAGCATTGTTTTCTCCTGCTGCTGTGCTTGAAAGCACGCTCAAAAGGTTTGTGCATTTGCCAAGCACTCCCTGCCCTCCACACGCTCTACCGTAACACCAGCAGCCCATTACAACGGTTTCGTGTATAAACATCCCTCCAGAACATTTTTGCAGGTGGCCAACGTGAGGCTGTGCGGAGCACGCTCTGTGCACAAGCAGCCTGTCAGCAAGAGCGCAGAATTAACTGGCCATCTGTGAGCTTTAAGCCTCATTTCTACATAGAGACTTAACTGAAAGCGAGAGGGCTTTGACTTCACTCTTCAGCTGCGACTCCTTTCTTTGGTCCCTGTGATTTTGATGAAATGGATCAGGCTCTTAATTGTGCCGCTCTCCCTGCACGATGCCACCAGCTGGTATGCCAGGATTTGATCCTCAAAATTACCAGTGTTTGATCCTCAAAATCACTCCAAAAGCCTCCTCAGCTGCTATGCACAACAASTGCATACCTTATTTTCATCCTACTCAGAAGCACGTAGCACATCAGCATCACTGTATAAAGCCACCCAAGACTGGCAGATAAAATAGTTACCAAAACCGGGGTCCAAATTAAACATGTGCTCTATGCAGAAGCAGTTTTGTCGGGGACACAGGCTGTGACACAGCTTTCTGTGCAACCCAGGCTCCTTCAGAGGGCTCATGACAGATGTGGGAGTACAATGGAAGAGCTGGGGAGTAATGGAAAAGGAATTAAAGGGAGAAAATACAGAATGAGGACAGAAAAAGGAGAAGATGCCACTCTTAGTGTGAAATTTAGCCAGCGTGTCTAAAAAGAGTAAAGAGGACAAAGAAGGGAGATTAGCTGGAGCATCTTCTTTATGCCAGTTGTTAAAACACGTTCATGGAGATGGAGGATACTGGTGGGAAAGAGGTGGGGAGAAAGAAGATCGTCATAGGGTCAGGTCGCCCCGTCTCCTGTACTGGTTATTGCACTAGCAAGGCTAACACAGGTATCGAAATCTGAAAGAATGACAAGCAGCTTTAATTAGGGCTCTCCAAAGGGAGAAAAAACACTCATGGTTTTAAGAATTAATTACAGCAAGCAATTTTCAATTAACTTAGAGGACAAATGCTTCCCAGAACTAAATACAGTTGTGAACCTCACGTGMAGATTTGTCTTTGGCAGGAGTCAGCCCAAGTTCAGGAATCCTTGCAGGAAACGCCACAGAGGGAAGCAAGGTTGCAGCGCTGCAAGGGAACTCACTCTTGGGGTCAAGTTTAGTTGCGTAACTTCATTTTTAGAAAGAGCTATGCAAACAAATAACATTTCACTAATCCAGTTCTAGAACAAAATATTTTCCCTTGGAAAATTTTGAGAAGCCTAAGTTTTCCTAGCTCATCTTTTTAGCCTCAACATGTATTTATTTCCTTAAAAATACCTTTCTTTGAACTAATAAATATATATTTATACAGAGTGTATATATATGTGTGTATATACATACACACATAATCAAATAAACGTTTATTTGGGTTCAGACTGGATATAGCAGTTACCAAGTGTGTAATCATGAAGSTTTTTTCTATCCTTTCCTGCTCCATGCCAACTACTCCCAGATTTTTTCATAGCAACAGCTCCGAGTCCAGAACATGCAGATGACAAGTGTTAATTGGTATAAAAATGAAAATCGAGAGCGTATTTTCGAGAAGCACAAAGCTCATCCAACAGTCATCATGGAAAGCAAGAATTTGCTTATGGCCTAAATTCCAGCTTTTTCATGCTTTAACCCTAGCAGGATGACACTAAAGAGCAAACAGGGCAAACAAGCTCCTGGCAGCTACTCTTTTTTATCCTCAAAAGCAGAGTATTTAAAAAAATAACTAAAATAAATAAAGTCACACACAGAAATCTGAACCACTGGTGCACGAGCTCTGTGGCTTCCCCTCCTCCCAAGATGTTATTTAAAGCAYCGACCATGGCGTTTCATGAAGGCCACTGAAAAGAAATGTCCTTCCAACAAGGAGTTAAGCAAAGGAGCCTCAGCACGGCGTTATTACAACGCCCCCAAACTCACTTTGCCCAGTTTAGTCACAGCCAACCAAGCCTGCAGTCACCTTGATGCTCTGGCAGGGCTGAAATGAAAGGAGCGCAGCAGAACGCAGGTTTCTGAAGCCTGATTTACTCCCTTTTTTTACAGGGGGAAAAAGGAGGGCGAGTGGATTCAGGAAGCTAAGGGAAAGAAAAGTGACGTCATGCGATTTTAAGCATTTCAAGGCATTAAATGATGCCCCCTCCCCCRTCTTAAGCCGATCTCCAGGGATGCGCGTGCCTGGGTGGATAAGGATGCGGCAGCAGCAGGGAGCAGGTGCGGCTCTCGGCAGGATCCCATCCCATCCCATCGCGCCACCGGCGTGCCAAGAGGGACAGGCAACCGGTCCTGCCCCATCCCGCAGGCAACTGCATCTCCATGCCAAGGCCACCTCGCTGCCCTCGCCAAAGGGCCACCTGACCCCGCRCCAAAAGGACAGCCCTGAGGAGTTGGGGGGACACGGGAAGTGTAAGGTCTCAGGGGGGAGGGAAGATTTTAAAGATTAAAAAATAAAAGAAATAAGTTAATAAATAAATAGAAAAAATAGAATAAAAGAAAAGAAAATTAATAAACAGAAATAGAAATTAAACAGGAAACAAAAAATAAAAATAATAAACAAAAATAAAAATAATAAGCAAAAATAAAAAATAGTGAAAACAAATAAATAAAAATATAAATAAAACAAAAATATAAATAAAGGGGAGAACAGGGCTGAGGCACAGTGAGAAACGAGGGTGACACCCCCTGCCCCCGGCACCCTCCTCGTACCTTATCCCAGCTCAGCCACTGCCACACGGCCTTGTCGAGCTGCGCGTCGCCGGTGCTGCGGGCCACCAGCACGTTGGAGTTGACATCGCCGCCGGAGCCGCGCTCGCCCATGTCGCCGCCGGGGAGCGCGAGCCCCGCTGAGCCGTTGCAGGGGGGGAAGGTAAGGGTGGGATGGCGGTAGCTTCACTCCGCGGCGGCAGCGAGCATCGGGGGCGGGCCGCTTTTTACCTCAGCGCAACGGTCCCGACGCCGAGTAACGGCCACCGCCAACGGTCGCGGCGCGCGCGCCCCCGCGCCGCCAACGGACCCAGCCCGCGCGCGCCGCCGCGGCCCGACAACAACACCGGCCCCGCCCCTCGTCGCGGCCTGGCCAATCGCGGCAGAGATGCTCTGGCCACGCCTCCCCAGCAGCACCAGCACCCCCAGGCGCCGACTCGCCCTAAGGCAGGCCCTCGCGGTGCTTGCTGGGAAATGTAGTCCGCACGCCGCGGCGAGCCGCAAGGAGGCGTAGGCCCCGCGTGGGCTTAGACTACAACTCCCGGCAGACCTTGCGGCGCCCTCTTTTTGCGCGCCCGTGCAGGGAAGCCGCCGCGCCAAGGCGGGGCAGCAGGTCTACCTGCCTCAGGGCCCCATGGCCTCTACCTTGTAAACCTTCCTCTTCGGCCTCCCTTTTTAAAAATTCCTGCTCAAAGCACGCCAAATCTTGACAAAAACCCTCAAGGAGATGAGAAGGCAGTGAAGCAGGTGTTAAAACAAAACTTCATGTCTTGATTCCTTTAGATCTTACCTCTTTCCCCCACCTCTCTCCCTGCTTCTCCTACAGGTTTCTGGGGATAATTTTAAATTATCCTACCTCTGAATTCCAGTTCTAACACCARGATTTTACCCACATAGGAGAGCTGACAATCACTTAACTATCAACCCTCCTTGCTGATAATTTCCTTGGAGAACAGACTTTTCCTGTGGCGATAGAAATGCTCTTATAGGAGATAAATAAATGTCTTTCCTGCTTCATTTGGAGAGTTTCCCCAGGAGCAGCTGCAGCCTAGAAGGTCTGAAAMTCTTCCATGGGGTCTCACAGATGTCCCCAAAACCAAAAAATAAGTGGCAGACMGGTTTTTATTCCAGAAAGTCAGCAATTTGCCCATGATATTCCCGGTGCTTCTTGTGCCCTCGTGGTTTGTGCAGTGAGCAGGGATGAACCCGAACCTCTCCGCTGGCCATTTCCTGACTCGGCAGCCCCTCTTTTGTTTTATTTATGGGGGAATTCGCCCTCGTCGCCTCTCGGTGCACCCCTGGCTGCTGCTAAAACGTGTTTTGGAGGCTCCCGTGACCGAGCAATTAATCCAGGGTTTAATCAGCTGCTCGGGGTCAGTGAGCCAGGCTCCCGCTCGGCCTCGACCATGTCCTTTGCAAACAGGCAACCTTTAACGCGGACCTGGCTATTTTTAATCCTTTCCATCGGTATTAATAGCCCGTGCAYGGGCTCTGCTCAGCACTTGGCCACYGGGACACGTGCACGTGCGGAAAAATAAGGGATGTGATGGGTTGCGTCTGTGGTTCCATGTCTTTAGCAGAAATGGGGGGTTTGGGATGCTGGAGAAGGTTCCTGACCCAAAGGCAGAGTTTGTGCATCTAGAAACAGCCCCGTTTCCATAAAAACAACCTCCTCTCATTCCGGAAAATTGCTTTAAGGCAACACAAACAACGACGATTGGGATGAGGTGGATGGAGATGTGGCTGAATGGAGGAGTGACACATGGGAGGTGGATGTGATGGAGGAGCTCACAGGGTTGCGGAGGCCAACAGGACCAGGGCAGGATCATCCCCCTGTGCTGGTGAGGCCACAACTCGGACACTGTGCTCGGTTTTGGGCACTATGAGAAGGACATTGAGGTGCTGGAACGTATCTGGAGGAGGGCAATGAAGCTGGTGAAGGGGCTGGAGCAAAGACCTTATGAGGAGCAGCTGAGGGAGCCGGGGTTATTTAGCGTAGAGAGGAGGAGCTTCAGGGGAGACCTTATTGATCTCTATAACTACCTCAGAGGAGGTTGTAGTGAGGCAGGGCCGATCCCTTCCCTGGAATAACGACAGATAGAAATAGAGGAAATGGCCTCACGTTGCACCACGAGAGGTTCAGGTCGGATATTAGGAYGAATYTGTGCCATGTGCTCCAGGTGTCCCTGCTTGAGCAGGAAGGTTGGACTAGATGATCTCTAGAGGTCCCKTSCAACCTGAACCATTCTGTGATTCTGGGAATTTCTACCTGGAAAGAGTAGCCAAGTGGAGTCCCCRTCCCTGGCAGTGTTGAAGAAACGTGTAGATGAGGCACAGAGAGACATGGTTTAACGGGCATGGTTCTGAGGGGTTGGACTCCATGATCTTGAAGGTCTTTTCCAAGCATGATGATTCTATGATCACGTTGGTTGGAGGCCTGTAGCTCAGAGTGTCCTCCAGGGGGCCTCAAGGAGCTGCGTGAAGGACTAGAGGTCTCCTCAGCAAGTTCACAGATGACAGAAAACCAGTCCCTCCATCACCTCCATGGCCCTTCGCTGGCCTCTCTCCGGCACCTCCATGTCCCTCTCATCCTGGGTAGGCCATCACTGACCCCAGTGCTGCACATGTGGCYTCCCCAGAGCAGAGAGGACGATACCCTTCCTGGAGCTGCTGCCGACGCTCGGCCTGAGGCAGCGCAGGGGACCATTGGCCTTCATGACCCCCAAGGCACATTGCTGGCTTGTGGTCACCTGGTTGTCCACCAGGACACCCAGGTCCTTCCCCACAGAGCTTATTTCCAGCAGGTCATCCCCAACCTGTTGTGGTGCATGGGGTTCTTCCTCCCYATGTGAAGGACCCCGSACTTGCCTTGGTTGAACTTCATGCGGTTCCTCTGTCCCCACCTCTCCCGCCTGCCCAGGTCCCTCTGGATGGCAGTGCAGCCCCCGGGGGTCTCGGCCAGTCCTCCCAGTTTTGTGTCACTTGTGAACTTGCGGAGGGGCCACCCTGTCCCTTCACCCAGGTCATGGATGAAGAGGCTGAACAGCCTGGACAGCCAGTACTGACCCCTCAGGGACACCCCTAGCTCCAAGACTCCAACTAGACTTTGCGCCACTAATCACAGCCCTCTAAGCTCGGCCTTTGGGCCAGGTCTCAGTCTATCTCACCGTCCCCTTTTCCATCCCACTCTTCCTCAGCTTCCCTGGGAGGACGTTTTGGAAGATGGTGTCGAAAACCTGGATGAAGCCAAGGGAGGCGGCACCCTCTGCTCTCCCCATGTCCACCCATCCGACCATCCCAGCGCGGAGGCCACCAGCCTCATCAAGCCTCAATTCCCCCTGGAGACTCCGTGCTGGCTCCCCCTTCCCACCTCCCCATCCTCCTCACGCCTAGGGARGACATCCAAGGAGAGCTGATCCATCGCCTTTCCAGGGATTGCGTTCCCTGAATCCCGCCGGGGTTGCGCAGGGAGGCTCACCCGGCAAATCCCCACCCAGAAGCCGGGATCTCTCCCGCTTTGCCCATCCTCTATTTTTACAGTTCCCAGGAATAACTGCCTGCCGTTCCCAGCCCCAGACGGGACCAGCCGAACCCGCTCCGTCCTCGCGCGCCGTCACCCTTAGGCGGGAGCGCGTTCCCACGCTCCCGGAGTTGGCACCGCCGCCGGATCCCACCCCTTATCGGCTTCCCACGTGGGGACAACCCGGCGGCACCTGCCACTTATCGGGACGGCTCCCGGATCGGGCACCGTGGCGGCTCCCGGCAGGGCAAGGTCACCTGCTCCGACCCGGCCACGCTTCCCGTGGGACACGCAGGGACACACGGGGACACTGCACATGCCACCGAGGACACTTTGCATGGGGGTTTCCCACAGCAGCTGGGACRCAGGGGGACACGGAAGGGCCACCAATTCCCATTCCCAACCTGGAGACCCCCACGCCGGAGCCGACAGCCCAACCGCCCCGGATGCCGGGAAGTCCCCGGAGCGCTGGGAAGCGGCCGCCCGGCCCGACCCAGCGCCTCCGCTCTGTTTGCACAGAAAGGCTCCCACGGGGCTTTATTTTCTTTTCCCACCGCAGAGCAAACAGGGCGCGGAGTCTCCGGAGCCGCCGCGGGGCCGGCGCGGAGATCCCGGCCAGGTGGCAAATCCCGATGCGAATCCCGGTGCTCATCCCGCCTGGAGCTGTGCAGGCCCTTCGGGAAGCAGGAGGGCTGGGGGCGCCGGGAACGGGCCGGTGCCGCCAAGTCRGGGCCCAACGCGGTACAAAAGGGCAAAGCTGCAGCCGGCAGCGCCGGAGCTGCAGGAAGGAAGCAGGAAAAGCAGCTGGGAGCGCCGGGAATGGGAGGGGGGGACGCAGTGCGGGCAGCAACAGCCCCCGTGTCTCGCTCCGGAGGGGGACACGGATTCCCAAGGAGCAGCTCTCCATCCTGCCCGCTCCCAGGATGGGCTCAACCATTCCCACGTGCCCAACGGCGCCGGAGCAGGAGGAGACGCGGAGCCGAATGTCRGGAAACCACCACCTTTAATCCCCGGGGGAGAAACAGGGGCCCAGCCCCGGCATCCCCTCGGGGGCGGCATCATCCCAGCGCGTCGGGATGCTCCGGAGCCGCCGGCGCGGGCGCTCTCCGTTGGGGAAGCGCGTGCCGGCGCCGTGCCTCAGATCATGGAGACGCGGTTCTTGATGTAGACGTGGTAGGGGTCGGAGCGCTTGTCCACGCGGCGCGAGCGCGTGTAGCCCAGGATGAGGCTGCCCACGGTGGCGGCGAAGAGCGTCATGACGAAGAGGACGTACATGTAGGCGTTGTCGTGGCGGGCGCCGCGGGCGCCGCGCGCCGGCGCCGGGCTCCGCGTCGTGCCCGTGGCCACCGCCGCCACGGCGCGCTCGCCGCCGGCGCCGCCGCCGCCGCACAGCGTGTGGTTGAGGGCGCGCAGCACCGCGTGCAGCCCCGCCGGCCAGCCCGTGCCGTTGCCCGCGTCCATGGCGAAGAGCCTGCGGGCAGCGCCGGGCAGCCTTGTAGGGGGGCAGCCCTGCCATGGGGTGCAGCCTCCCCATGGGGTGCAGCCCCCCCATAGGGTGCAGCCCCAGCCCCCCATGGGATGCAGCCCCGGTCCCCCATGGGGTGCAGCCCCCCCACAAGGTGCAGCCCCAGAGCCCCATGGGGTGCAGCCCTGCCATGGGGTGCAGCCCTGCCATGGGGTGCAGCACCCCCACAAGGTGCAGCCCCGGCACACCATAGGGTGCATCCCCAGTCCCCCAGAGGGTGCAGCTCCCCTATGAGGTGCAGCCTTGGCCCCCCACGAAGTGCAGCATTGGCTCCCCATAAGCTGCAGCCCCAGCGCCCCGTAGGGTGCAGCCCTATCCCCCCACGGGGTGCAGTCCCAGTGCCCCACAAGGTGCAACCCCGGCCCCCCCGTGGGGTGCAGCTCCCCCGCAGGGTGCAGTCCCAGCATCCCATCGAGTGCAGCCCCACCACAGGGTGCACCCCCGGCCCCCCACGGGGTGCAGCCCTGCCATGGGGTGCAGCCCTGGCTCCCCACGAAGTGCAACCCTGGCCCGCATGAGRTGCAGCCTTGGCTCCCCATAAGCTGCAGCCCCAGCGCCCCACGGGGTGCAGCTCTAACCCGCCACGGGGTGCAGTGCCAGCCCCCCATTGCATGCAGCCTCAGCCCCCCATGGGGTGCAGCCCCAGCCCCCCAGCAGCCTCAGCCCCCCGTGGGGTGCAGCCCCCCGCGCGGTGCAGCCCCGGCGCCCGCCGCTGCAATGGGGGGCAGCCCACGGTGCCCCCCGCGCCGGGCAGCCCCCCGGGCCCTGGGGACGCGCAGGGGCCGGGGGCGCCGCGGGGTCCCGCTCACTCACCCGCCTCCGCTGCGGCTGCGGCTGCGGCCCGGGCTCGGCCGCGACTGCAGCCCCGCGGCGGCCGCGGCCCCTTCCCGCCCCGCGGGCCCGGCTCTGCCCTCGCCGGGGCCGGGCCCCGCTGCCTCCTCCCCCGTGCGCCCGGCACCGCGGCCCGCGCCCGCCTCGGGGTCCCGCTGCCGCCCTGGGGGTCCCGCTGCTGCTCTGGGGGTCCCGCTGCCGCCCTGGGGGTCCCGCTGCTGCTCTGGGGGTCCCGCTGCCGCCCTGGGGGTCCCGCTGCTGCTCTGGGGGTCCCGCTGCCGCCCTGGGGGTCCCGCTGCTGCTCTGGGGCTCCCACATCCACCCTGGGGGGCCCGCTGCCATTCTGGGGGTCCCGCTGCTGCCCAGGGGTCCCCATATCCACCCTGTGGGTCCCACTGCCATCCTGGGGGTCCCGCTGATGCCCTGGGGGGCCTGCTGATGCCCTGGGGTCCCCACATCCACCCTGGGGGGTCCCGCTGCCATGCTGCGGGTCCCGCTGATGCCCTGGGGTCCCCACATCCACCCTGGGAGTCCCACTGCTGCCCTGGGGGTCCTGCTGCAAGTCTGGGGATCCTGCTGCTGCCCCGGGGGTCCCGCTGCTGCCCCGGGGTGCCACGTCCATCTTGGGGGTCCCACTGCTGCCCTGGGGGTCATGCTGCCATTCTGGGGATGCCGCTGCTGCCCCGGGGGGTCCCATGTCCACCCCGGGGTCCCACATCCACCCTGGGGGGTCCCGCTGCTGCCCTGGGGTCCCCACATCCACCCTGGGGGTCYGGCTGCCATCCTAGGGGTCCCGCTGCTGCCCTGGGGGTCCCACATCCACCCTGGGGGTCCCGCTGCCATCCTGGGGGTCCGGCTGCCATCCTAGGGRTCCTGCTGCTTCCCTGGGGGTCCCACATCCACCCTGCCTGTCCCACTGCTGCCCCGGGGGTCTTGCATCCGCCCTAGGGGTCCCGCTGCCGTCCCGGGGTCCCGCATCCACACTGTGGGTCCTGCTGCTGCCCTGAGGGTCCCACTGATGTCCCAGGAGCCCCATGTCCACCCTGGGGGTCCCACATCCATCCTGGGGGTCCCGCTGCCACCCTGAGGTCCCTCGTCCACCCTGGGGGTACCACTGCTGCCTCAAGGGTGCCATGTCCACCCTGGGGGTCCCACTGCCACCCCAGAATCCCACATCCACCCTGGGGGTCCTGCTGCTGTCCCAGGGGTCCCGTGGCCACCCCGGGGATCCCACTGCTGCTGTGGGGGTTCTGTATCCACTCTGGGGGTCCCACGTCCACCTTGGGGGTCCTGCTGCCACCCTAGGGGTCCCACTTCTTTCCACAAGAGAGTCCCACTTCCACCCTGGGCTGCTGCTCCAGGAAGATCCCGCTGCCACTCGAGAGGGTCCCACTTCTTCCATCAAGGGGGTCCCACTTCTTCCCCCAAGGGGGTCCCACGTCCGCCCTGGGCTCCTGCTGCTGCCGTGGGGTCCTGCTGCCACCCAGAAGGTCCCATCTCTTCCCCCGAGGGGATCCTSCATCCACCCCAGGGTTCCTGCTTCTTCTCCCAAAGGGGCTCCCATGCTCACCCTAGGGTCCCAAATCCACCTTGGGGGGTCCCACATTCACCGCAGGGGTCCTGCTGCTGCCCCCAAGGGGGTCCCACATCCACCCTGGGCTCCTGCACCCACCCTGGGGTCCCACACCTGCCCCAGGGGGTCCCACCTGCACCCTGGGGTCCCTTCCCAAGGGTCTCTCTACCTCCCGGGGGGTCCAAATTCATCCAGAGGGGCCCTGGAAGCTCCAAGGCTGGGGGGTCTCTCACCCCGGGAGTCCCTCACTCACCCAGGGGGTCCCACATCCACCCTGGTGCCCCCGCGCCCCCAGTTTCACCCCATGGTCCCTCTTTCTCCTGCCCACATGGAGGTACCAGGGGACCGGGAGCAGCCGGACCCACCGCGTCCCCCCTCACCAGCAGCTCCCACTCAGCCGATCCCTCTGGAAAATGCCACTGGATGCCCGAATCCCGGAGTGCTACAGGCACATCCCGCACTTCCAGGGCCCCACAACCCTGGAGCACTGCAAATCCAGGTGCTCCGCAACACCATGAGCCCTCCGAGAAGCAATTCCCATCCTCTTGGGCCACGATTCCTCATTGGAAAACCCGGAATAAGCCACTCCGGGGGCTGCTGGTTAAACACGGAGTGGGAAGAGCTCTCAGTAACTCTCCCTGCTTCCAAACCCACAGCGTGGGATGCGGCAGGGAGGGAATCCCAGAGTGGCTGAGGTTGGAAGGGATCCCTAGGGATCATCCAGACACAGGGACACCCAGAGCACAGGGTGGCAGCCCCCATCATCCACAGGGTGCCATCCATCCACGTTGGAAGGGACATCCATCACCGGACCCCGTTTATTCCCAGCCACGCTCCGTTCTTCCCGGGCACGAGGAGCAGCACAAAGTCACACGGAGCAGCACAGAGTCATCCGCTGGGCACAACATCCTCATCCCAACGCGGCGGGCTCGGAAAACCGGGACGCGCCGGCTAGAGCGGCGGCGGCGCCTCTTCCTCCCACTCCTCCTCCTCGTCCTCGGCGAAGACCAGCGTGCAGTCGAAGACCTCTTGGAAGCAGTCGAGGAAGGGCTCGAGGACGGCGGCCACGGGCACGTGGCGGCCCAGCTCRCGCGACAGCGACGTGACGCCCTTGCCCTCGAGGCCGCAGGGCACGATGTGCTCGAACCAGGCCAGGTCCGTGCAGCAGTTGAGCGCCAGCCCGTGCGACGTGATGTGGTGGCTGCAGTGGATGCCTGCGCGGGGGCCCGGCGCCCGTCAGCGCCCCAAGGGGACCCCCAGTGCGATGGGGCACTGGGGTAGGGGTTGAGGGTGCAATGGGGCACTGGGGGGCAGTGGTTGAGGGTGCACTGGGGGGCAAGGACTGAGGGTGCAATAGAGCCTTTGGGAGCAGGGGTGGAGGGTGCAATGGGGTCCGGGGGGGGGCAGAGGCTGAGGGTGCAATGGGGCACTGGGGGTCAAGAACTAAGGGGTCAATATGGCCCTGGGGAACAGGGGCTGAGGGTGCAATGGGGCACTGGGGGGCAAGGACTGAGGGGTCTATAGGGCCCTTGGGGGAAAGGGTTTAGGGTGCAATGGGGTTCAAGGGGGGCAAGGACTGAGGGTGCAATGGGGGATTGGGATGCAAGGACTCAAGGTGCAATAGGGTCCAGGGGGGCAGGGACTAAGGGTGCAATGGGGCACTAGGGGGCAGTGGTTGTGGGTGCATTGGGGTCCTGGGGTGCAAGGGTTGGGGGTGCAATGGAGGCACTGGAGTGCAAGGACTCAGGGGTCAATAGGGTCCAGGAGGGCAAGGACTGAGGGTGCAATGGGGCACTGAGGGGCAGGCGCTGAGGGTGCAATGGGGCACTGAGGTGCAAGGACTGAGGGGTCAATAGAGCCTTTGGGAGCAGGGGTTGAGGGTGCAATGGGGTCCAAGGGGGGGCAGGGGKGAGGGTGCAATGGGGCACTGGGGTGCAAGGACTGAGGGTGCAATAAGGCCCTGGGGGACAAGGGCTGAGGGTGCAGTGGGGTCCTGGGGGGCAGAATTGGGCCTGAGGGTGGGAATTGCACTGGGGGGGGTGCACCCTGATTCAATCTTTGCAACTGTCCCCCCAAACCCAGTGCCCCCCCCCATGCAATCCTCCCCCCCTCTGCCCCATGCACCACCCTTGGGCCACGCTCCACC